GGGGGGGGGGGGCGTTATAGCCAGCAGCCCCACCCCCAGCGGTTACGGTTCCTATAATTATTTAATCTCCACTCACAGCTGATCTAAAATTTTAAATGAAAAATGAAAAATTTTCTTTTCAACTTAGGTTTTTTATATCGCAATAAGTTGAGGGTGCAAGCAATTCTTCCTATTCAATGTCGGGTTTCAACTAGCTGATAAAAGTCTTTGAATCTCATTATCTGCTCCACATGGTGGTCAAACAGACCAACATGTGTTTTCAGCCAGAAAGAACTCTATTTGGAACCTTTTCAGCTGATAAACAATCCATAGGAGACAGGAAATGACGTCAAGTGAACTAACCTACCATGTGACTGACCAGTAACTTGGTCTGTGAATCTTTACTGAGAACCATTTTCACCACAGCTAACACTATATCATAGTAGCCATACACCTGAACGCCCTTCACTTCAGACAGCCCAACCACTCCAAGCTCCAGTAGTCCCAGTACTATCGAAATAGTAGCCTCGCTTTCAAGTACATCCGTCAGGGGCGTGAGCCCCACATCCTTCAGGCGCCAGGCCTCTTTGTTGACTTCCGGTACCTTGGATGACGCCACTATGGCCCCCATGAGTTTGAGAACTTTGAGTCGAATGTTCTCGTGTTTGTAGTTTTGAAGGACGTTGATAAAGACACAGACGTTACTTGGGTCTATGAGGACAATAAGACACACAAAAAGGGTTGAATATCTATTGCGTTGTTGCCAGTTGTTCTCGTTTAAAACTGTTGTGTGCGCAAAAAAAAAGACTTGTTTTAATTTAACTAACTGGCATAAATACAAAAATGATGAGATGAGAATGTGTTACTAGAAAAATACACACATTGCAACAAAATCACGCAACATCGCTTGTGTCAGCCTGCTATGTTAAGATATGTGGTCAGCAGTTATAAATTTGGTGCAAACTGATTGGCTGGAAATTTCAAAATGTTGCAGGTAATGTTGCAGCCATGTTCACACGATGAAATTTGTTGCTCGCAATGTTGCAAGAGTAAAGCGCGATTCAACTTCAGATTTGTTGCATGAAGCGTTGCGTGCAACAAGTTTTAGTGGTAGACACACGCTGCAACAGTCCTGTTCTGTATTTAAATATACATATATATCGTTTTCCAATACTTTCCTTATTATTCCCTATTAAGAAAAAATAATGATTCATAAATCAATGGCCTTTTCTCATGACCCTATCTATCGCACTTGTTCAATGTCTACTATTGTTCAATGTTTATTATTGTTTGTACATAATTACGTAATTCAGCCCATGGGCTGCGATGTAATTTTCAATAAACATCTATCTATTTATCAAGGGTATCCTGACCTGATAGTCTCTTGACTAGTTTGTTAGTTGATGATCTAGTACATAAAGCATTCATCAGATCCAGTATCTCGACCACCTGGTCAGCGTCTTGTACACTATGTAAATACTGCACCAAACATTTTGCTTCACTAAGTGTTGGCTTGTCCTTTAGGTAGAACTTAACCAGACCTAAGAATGAAAAAAAATCCATCTGCTATCAGTTGTATAGGAAAATCAAGGGCTAAGACACTGGCTGGGGAGAGGGGGGGGGGGGGGGGGGGGGGGGGGGGGGGGGGGGGGGGGATGAGGTAGGTAGTGGGGTAGATGGGTTATCAGAGGTTTTGGGTATACACCTTAAAAAGCGCAAGTATATGGATAAAGTAGGATATGGATCTTTGTCATACAGCAGCGATGTTGAATGGAACAATAGAGTATTTTCACTCACGTGACAAGGAAGCCAATAGCGCAGCGCAGCCGTGACGTCATAAAAACGAAGACAAAGGCGAAATTCGGACAAACAAACTTGCAAGTTTACCTTCAGCAGATAATTTTCACAGCCGATCGCAGCTGATCTTAGTTTACATGGGTTATTATTTTAACTTTAAGTAAAAATAATAAAATCGGTTCGTATAATCCTCGTAGCGGTGAAACAGAATGCAATGTTTGTCCGAATCTTTAAGCTATTTTTAGAAAGAGCGCGCTGCGCTATTGGTGTACCAAACAATAGAAACATTCTGCACATTTTTTGCATAAAAATAAGTGTCTAATTCTCGGAGGATAGAAAATGTATTGGTTTAATACACCAACATGGCACCTAAGACGTCACTTGAAAACTCTCTACATAGACTTTTGCTCGTGTAGCCTCGCATTACACATTTCACTGACATAGGGTATCATGTGTCGTGTTCTAAAGCAACCAGGGCACGCAATATTCTATATTGAACTGTTTAGTTACACCAGCATGGAATTGGTAAATATGAAGGTGCACATAAACGTTGGTCGCACCGTGTGAGCACCCGTGCGCCGTCGCCGTCGCAAAAAGTAGAATCGAGTTCTACTTTTGCGACGTCGCGCGACGAATCTCACCGTGTGCGAGCAACGTAGCACGGGTAAATCACACGGGCGGTCACGTCTGCATTTTTAGGCAACAGTCACTTTACGTTTCCTTTTCTTTGTCTTACCTAACAAAGAAGCTCTTACAGCCTTGACTTCATCCTCTGTAATGTCAACAGCGCCTGCACGTTTGGCCTCAGCGGTTTTACACAAAGATTCATGCGTCCCAGCGTAATACATCCTGATAACATCAAGGAAAAACTGAACGCCGAAGGATTTCTTGAACAACGAAGAATTATCCTTGATGATTGTAGACAAGTACTGTATATGCCCCACTCGAACATTGAAATAACAAGTGCTCCAGATACGAAAATTAAAGACTAGATGTTGGTAGATTTGGTCCAGTAAGTAAGGACTTGTCACGCAATCTATCATAGCTTGGAGTGACTCTAAGACGTCAACATCAAGGAGTCTTGAGTCACACAACTCCAACATGTGAGCTATGAATGATATACTCTGATCATTAATAGCATCAATCGACTCGTTCTCTTTAAAGACGTTAAGAATAAGATACAAAAATAAAGAGACATCTGAGCAATGGGTTGTTTCACAGTATTTTGTCATTTCTTCTCTTAAATGATATATATTGGCACGCGGATCTATAATTGTCCATTCTTCGGTTTGGGATTCCTGTGGATCGATGGCATGACTTCCGGTTCCACCGGAAGTGAAATTAACTTTAAAATGTCTACTTCTTTCGGATTGAGTCCGTCTTTCTTCGTTGACATTATTTGAATCGTTGTCATTGGTTGAATTTGAGTTTTTCAATGAACGTTCTGTAACATCCTCAGTGATCGATTGATTTGTTGTGTGTGATGATGACCCAACGCCATGATGAGAGAGTGCATTTGAGGTCTCTGAAGACCTAGCATTAATATCAACAGAGTCCCCACTGACAGTCTCTGATAATTCTCCTGTATTATATGCAGAAACGGCATTTACAGTGACCGCCTCTGACGATTCACCGATACCATGTACTCCTGCGTTTTCAATGAACACTTTGGATTTTTCGTTCATGCACGAATCATTGTAAGAGCCTGTCTTTCCTGGTTCGCTCTTCGTAGAATCTAAATTCGTTGTCATCTTGTCGTTAGGGGAAGAATTTGGTGCGTCTTTCCCATTGTTTTTCTTTGCGTTTTTGTTGTATTCAATTCCTTCTAACAAAGGAAGAAATACTTCCACTCCACCGATAGTTTGGATGACATCCTGATTAAAAAAATCACTCAATCACTTAATCAACCTGACATGGGATGGTGCTGTTGACGGCAGGGGGAGGGTAGGGGGAGGGGGAAGGGGGNGGGAGGGGGAAGGGGGAAGCAGTGAGGAGGAGGTTACGGCAGCCATGCTATGGGGTAAAACGACAGAAATATTTTCCTTTGGGAAATGAAATCTTGTGCTTTATTTTTTTACTACAATATTTTACTTTAGGAGGAATTTGGAATTTGTAGAGGGGGAGGGAGAAGGGGGGAGGGGGAAGGGGGAAGCAGTGAGGAGGAGGTTACGGCAGCCATGCTATGGGGTAAAACGACAGAAATATTTTCCTTTGGGAAATGAAATCTTTTGTCGTTCAAAACTGTTAGCACTTGTTCAAATGGATCAAAAGGACCTTCGAGTGTCAAACAATAGAATAAATCTATTGTGTTACTGCCTCGTTCTATTGTTTTATGATCAAATAGGTCCTTTTTTCCATGTGACTGAGAGCTAACCGTGCAAAACACAGCATATTCTGCCCTTAGACATGGCTGCCTCTAACCACAAGGAGCCCAAATATACTTAGGAATAGTGCTACCCATCAAAAAAGATATACCATGGTAACCACAATCAAAAAGTCTTACCTTGATATTCCACGTGATGCACTGATGGCCACTTATTCTAAAAAAAAAAGAAGTATTTTATGCTAAAGTCAAGAAGGTCTAGATTCAAAATTTTGTATGGTTTAGAGCTTGTTCACTGGCACCCCTATAAAAACAACTACAGGCTAAAATACCACAGAATAAACATTGGACTAATCATTACCTGCCATGTAATTCCGTGTGGGTCGGTTGAGGAGGAGTTAAATCATAGCAAACAAAATCACGCACAGCCTGAAAAACAAAATCGTTACCGTATCTTTTTAACCCCTTTTCATAATTGCAAGCAGCTTTAATTCGAGATGTCTGGGTTTTCGGCCTCCGTCAATCGAAATACCATCGGTCTGAGTAAGCAGTTTTGAATTGCCCTATTTCACTATGACGTCACATCAAAACAATCTATTGTTTAAACGCAAAGGATCATGGTCGTCGGAGGGGGTCAAATCAACGCAAGTTCACCGAAAATTGTTCTAAGACCCTTATCAATCCACGAAGTGAAGTAGAATAGCCATCAAACGCTCAGAATATTTTTGAGTACATATTTACACATTATATCTGAAAACCAGGCCATTTTAGATTAAACTGTTTCGCAAGGAGCAAATTTTGTTGAATTTTCTATTGGATTTGGCGATTCTATCCCCCACATAAACAAGCAGTGACGTCATAGTGAAATAGGGCAATTGACTTGGGATGTGGTCTTGGGATGTGTTGGCCACGTAAATATGAAGATGGATGCAAGGTTAAATCAGACTAGCAAAATAATAGTATTCAGATCTTTTTGTCGAGAATCTTGCACAAATCAAAAGCAATGCATCATACCTTGGCATGATAGTAGAGAACCAGCTTAGACGAGAGCTCGTACAGACTACCCTGAGACGTGCCAGACGAGTCAGGGGGCTGAAATATGTCTAGATTATTAGGGCCTGGGGATACAAAAAGGATCCAGCTTAGTATTGGACATAAATATTTAACGCTATCAACGGAAACCGAAGGTGCACTTTACCCCTCCCTATATCAGTACTCCGTTTTAAGGATTTCTAGAACCTAATCTACACGGGTTGGAGAGATTCAAACACAAGTATACGAGATAACACAGGGTTTGTGCTGAGGTAACCACTTAAGATTCAAGGGCTATTCAAGGAGTATACAAGGACCCAAAAATGAATTTTCAAGGAGTATGTTCAGCTAACTATGCCAAGGTTTTACACGGTGGTTGCACATGGCCGACTTTCAGATTTTCCGATCCTTCTGACTAGATCTATTTCAAAACCATGCAAGTAATGATCAAAGTAAAAATTCAAGTAGTTTTCAAGGAGTTTCGCTAAAATCGTAAAATTCAAGAGCTTTTCAAGTGCCCCTGAAAACGTGAATTAAATTCAAGGAATTTTCAAGCAGTTTAAGGAGTAGCACGAACCCTGATAACAGATGAGCTACTCTTGAACCAAGGACCCCCTCTTTTGTAGTAGTACACGTAATAACTTAGCCACATGGATCTAGATCACACGGCGTCATGTTTATTTCCATAACAATAACAACCTGTTTAACCCCATGTAACCTCGTCCTGAAGCACTTGAATGCGAGGCTACGGGGGAAAAATCTATTGTTTCAGTCAAAATGGCTGCTGCGTTCGATGGATCTGGTGACAGACAGTCCCACCCTTTCTCACTCGTTTACCCCCCCCCTCCCCACCCTCCCTAAAAACTTTTATATCAACCATACCTGAATTATGCCAAGCCTGATGATATGCCTCCAATAGACCTTCATTGAATATACAAATAGGTCCCAACTGCCCTTGCAGGGATGTAGGGGCCCCCCACATCATATCCTGTGTGCCGGCTGGTATGATGGTAGCATGGCCACTGTCAAGCATTGGTGAATCTAGACTTGCTGCACGAGCGAATGGTGATTTCATCGCTTTAGCTGACGGTGGGTGATGCGAGTGGCCGTGGTGAGTTGTAAATGTTGCCCCTGAACCGATGTAACAGTGTGACAGCTCCTAATAAAGATTAATATGGATTAATAATAAAGATTAATCGATCCAAGTGATGGATAAGCTCGTGAGAACGATTATCAAAAAAAAGTGATAACATACCTCGGAAAGAGAGGGAAACTTCAAGGCACAAGTCATTTTGACCACTCCATCGATACAGACGCACACGGTACTTTGTCCAAATGGCCGGCGAGAGGGTAGATGTGCAATACTTACAGAGTGCTGTGATAGACAAACAAAACAATAAGTGAATAGACCATTTTAGAATTCGTACAATTAATACAGCTGTGTTACTTGATAACAGACTCATTTACCCAGGGTTAGCTCCATTTCAGCGTCAAGGTATTCACAAAAACCGACGAAAAAGGAAAAAAAAGGACTTAAACAACAGGGAGGGTGAGAGGGAGGGACGGAGGGAGAGAGGGAGGGAGGGAGAGAGRGAGRGAGRGAGGGAGRGAGRGAGGGAGRGAGRGAGRGAGRGAGRGAGGGAGGGAGAGAGGGAGAGAGGGAGGGAGGGAGAGAGGGAGGGAGAGAGGGAGGGAAGGAGGGATGGAGGGACAGATGGATGGATGCTGCCACTTATCTTAAATTTATCTTACCCATTGCCCATCTACCAGATTACTAGCTGGTACTTTGACTGTATGATATTCCTTCTTGTTACTAGTAGCAACCACCAAATCACTGTCTCTCGAGATAAAAGACTCGACACCAATTCCAGAACTCGAAAAGAAACTAAAATTGAACATGGACACAAGACTAAAATGTACATTGAACCAATAAATCATTTTAGATCCCGCACAAATAATTCCAAAAAAATCTACCAGGACCCACCTTAATATGGAAAGCCTATTTTTTCAGGGAGTATTACATTTCTAAAAACGAACCATAACTGTCGTTTTGTTGTAATTTTATCGGGTGCTCACACCCATGGCTTATAAAATAGACTAATTTCTCACTAAACTATCTAGTCACAAATATAATCGGGATTCTCGAGGAGTAATCAAGCCGTTCGTAATACTTCGTAAAACTCCATAGCCTTTCACGAGGATCTCACATTTTATGTTACTGTTGAAGCGTTAAATCATCTTCTTATGTGTTGTATGATGGCTTTACCCAGGAAAGCCTTGACAGCGCGGACCCCAGAATGGACTCCAGAATGGATTTGTCTTTAAAATTCCATCTTATTTTTTGATTTCTTCTCAGCTAGTGACAAATGATAAATTATTTCTAAACTTACTTTCCAAGCTAATAAATATATTAGATCAAGGTTTTACCTGTAAAGTCGTCGTCGAGAATTTGGTCGATGCAGCGCTTGAAGCTTGTTTACTTCCTTTGATCCTGGCTCAAGACAAAGCCATGTGAAGAAAGTGAACCCAGACCCGACCCACTTCTGGATAGATGAAACACTAATACCCTGCCGAACAATGACGAAGAACACTGTCTTATAGACCCCTTGCATTGAATTACTAGAAGAATTGTTCTGAGGGACAAAACAATAGGCCGTCTTTTCGTATGCAAAAAAATCTATTGTTTTGTCCCCCTGGACGAAGCCTGGACAGCGCTATCCGGCGGATAAATCCTTATCCAGTGGATAAGTCGATGCTGTTATCTAATATGTTTATCCACTGGATAAGATTTATCCGCCGAATAGCGCTATCCACCCTTCGTACAACCAGGCCCAGAGCAATTCCTCTCGGGACTCAGTGCAAGGTGCGTATAAGACATCGTGGCACTTGTAAATGTTATAAAATTATATCAAATTTGCATCGAGGAAGGAAACGAACGAGCGAAATATAAAGAGAAAGAAAGAAAGAACAACCAACCAAATAACCAATGAGCTAGTCAGCGAAGGAAAGAAGGATAGAACAAAAAAGGACGAAAGAAAGATTGATTGATGGTTGGATGGTTGGATAGAAGGAATGAAGGAACGGACAAAATAAAGAAAGAAAGATGGATGGATGAATGGATGGAACGAACGAACGAACGAAAGAAAGAAAGAG